AGCTGCCAAACTTCCAAACTTCCAAACTTCCAAACTACCAAACTACCAAACTACCAAACTACCAAACTGTCAAGCTTCCAAACCTCCAAACTGTCAAACATTCAAATTTTCAAGCTTTCAAACTTCCAAACTTTAAAACTCCAAATTCAGAATGTTTCATTTATAGTTTCTATATCCTCCTGTTCCGCTCAACAGCTTTATAAAATGTTGGCTCCGAAATTTACTCGACACCGGTTCGACCGTTCTAGCAAAAATCCCCGAAAAAAAGAGAAAATCCGGGAAACCAGGACAAGAACGACGCGACAGAACGAAACCGTGAATTCTCGCGACTAATTCCGCGAATTCCCACGCAGTCCCGCTAACTCGGCAGTCACGATCGAATGAATTCAACCCTCCACCCTCGGTGTTCCACCCTTTTTCTCCCTCATTTGCCTAACTGCGCCCGGTGGGTGACCAGTCGATGTCTGCTTTGTGAATTAGTGAAAGCGATCAACGACAAGCTGAAAAGCGACGCTCACAACCAAAACGAGCCAGCGACGATTTACACGGGTCCACCCGTTATAAGGGTCACCCTGGCCAGCGTAGAGGAGACCTCGATGCTGCTGAGCCGCGGTCTGGATTTTTATGGGGCCACATATTTCCCCACCGAAACGCCCCATCCAGCTGCTCAACCCCTTGCCAAATACAAAAACAACAGGTGGGAAATGAATGTGTTCACATATGCTTGCGAAACGTTCGCTCCGCGTGACCCATCGTGCGCGCATCAAAATCAATTTCAATTTGTCAGGGGTTGCAAGCCCGATTTCATTCTGCCACCCACCCTCCGACGCCACCATTCACTGACTAACTCGCTGTCTCTTACATCCAGGCACATTTTTTTGTATTTCATCAATCGCTGTAATCCTCATTGTGAATAGCTGATAATTTTATTTACTCCTTTGGGAAGTTTGTTTTATACATTCCAACGATGTACGAAGATAAAGATAATATATATTATACAGTACAATATTAACATTTGAAAATAATATTTCCACATTTCACTTGTAAGAAATATCAATTACAGAAAGCATATAATAATACATAATAAATAATAATACAAAGCTTAGAAAGATTACCATCTAAACACATCGCACCTAACTCAAACATCTCCAACAAAACGAACCAATAAAACCGAACAAATCCAAATTCAATTTAATTTCCATCCTTCTAAAAGACAAGAATTATACAAAACATATAACAATACACAATGAATAATACAAAGCTTAGAAAAATTCCAACACGAATCCATCAATCTGACTCAAACATCTCCAACAACGAAACAAACCAATAAAACCAAACAAATCCAAATTCAATTTAATTTCCATCCTTCTAAAAAACAAGAATTATAAAAAACATGTAACAATACATAACAAATAATACAAAGCTTAGAAAAATTCCAATATGAATCCATCAATTTAACTCAAACATCTCCAACAACGAAACAAACGAATAAAACCGAACAAATCCAAATTCAATTCACTTTCATCCGACGTTCGTTTCCTTTGCTCGCCCGAATCGGTGCTACAAAAGCAACCAGGAAATGATTTATAATTGCATCCGGCGCGCCGCTTAAAACGCGTTTCATATTAATTGGCCCAGATTAAACCGTCTACGTTGAAAATCAGCCGGCGAGGTCGTCACGCGGGCGGTTCCACTGCCGCGCAAACGAAGCGTCCCGTTTAATGCCCCCGCGGTTTTCCATACCGTCGAAGATGACAATTCTACACCGCGTCCGGCATTTGTATTCGGCTGTTTATCGCGCCGGCTCGGGGACGAAGATTATTAGCCGGAGGGAAAATAGGCGGACGCGTATCGCCTAGCAAAACGGCCGGCCTGCTGTTTACGAATCATAAAGGCGCGGCCTGCGATCATTCGATTGTAAAGCGCAAATTGGGAGCTCCGCAAATACCGCGCGATCGAATTTGCGGCCCGTTTCTGCGAGGAGCAACAAAACAAACGTATAACGCGCCGCGCGGCGCGCGTCGATGGAAACGGACAACCGGCCGACTGATTCTCGGCCGGCAGAAATTCGTTCGCGTCGAAATAATGCGTATTATGCTGGCCGCTGGCGGTGTACGATGGCGTGATTCGCGATGCGATCCCATATTTCCCGGAATAATTTTCGTTCCGCGTCAACCTCGATATTAATGTCACCACGGTTGCGTTGGTGTTAACCGGTCCGGCCATTGTTTTATAGGGAACTGTCGCATTCTTCTAATTCAGTCGTTTATGAGGGTGGTTTGATTTAAGTTCAGTTTTATTGGGATTGTCGAGTGGGAATAAAGAAAATAGTAGACTCGGGATTGTTTGTGGTTTGGTGAATATATCGATGACATTAGGTCGTTCCATAAATTCCTGCTATTTATTTTACTATTGCATAGAGTGTTATTTTGTGAAATATGACGTTCGCTCTCGTATACCTTCTATTAACTAAACTGAAGCTCGAACTCGTATCGCTCTGTGATTATAACACGTGACGCGAAAGTAGTAATACATGGCACGAACTTATGGGACTAAGAATATTTTTAGTATGCATTAGAATGTCAATCTCTTAGGCAGTGAATTAAGTGATTATATATACTATACATATAAGTATATAAATATTCTATTATTAATTGATAGATCCTCTGAAAATGATATTAATTTGTCTCTAACTAATATTATAGCAACGATATCATAAAAAGTATATTTACACAAAGTTCCTATAAATAATTCCTACAACAATTAATAGATTGTATTAATTGGGTACTAATTAATAGATCCTCTGAAAATGATATTAATTTGTCTCCAACTAATATTACAGCAACGATATTATAAAAAATTTACACAAAATTCCAATAAATAATTCCTACAACAATTCTCATAAATAATACTCATTACGAAACAACGTTCTCCATTTGGAAATCAATTATCATCACTATTCACAACATCTACCATCCTAATCAGCAAAAAGCTCATAAAGCAGATCGCCGGTAGAACCGTCCGATGATCGTCGAAAATTCCGCTTCCTCCGTCCACAAAAACTCGCCACGATAATCCCCCGCTGTCACGCGAACGCGGCGCGATTAATAAAAGCGAAAGAAAGGGTAAGTCAATTTCTCATCGCGGTCTGCCGATCGTTTCAGGTGGTTCGAGCTGGCGGCCATCGGCGCCGGACAAAGAGTCAGGGACTTACTTCCGGTCTTCGACAACGCGGGCTTCAACAAATTGTCACCTCCGGCCAGCCGGTTGATAAAACCGCAAAAAAATTGACGCGTCCGCCGGCCACCGGCGACATTTTCGTGATACCACCGGCGCGGCGATGTGACCCGGACACCGGACGCGGGTTCGCCGACGGCGCAGGAACGTTCCGCGAGGATCAAGGATAGAGGAGAGATCCCGCGCTGGTGGTAACGAAACCATTTTGAGGTAACGGTGTCTTAATTTGACGACCCTACACTGTTGTTAGGCTAACGTGGTAATAATCCAGGTAGAACGATCTCGGCTGGAAACTTTTTAATGGGGGTGTGTTCATTTTAGTACAGTTTCGTTACCGTGAACGGCAGTCGCGTTTCTGTCCCCGGCATTGATATTAAATAGTTTTAAGTGATAATCAGACTGCAGAGTTTTGGAAAAATTTACGCGCTCGAGGTGGGGATCTCGGTGAAACGGGAATTAAAGCATCATTTTTGGGTATTAAACGAAGATGATAGAGTCGAAGATCGGTGTTATTTAAATTGTGGCATATAGATGGTTTTCGTGTAACTTATAGTATTGAATATTGGGGTAGAATTTGTGGTGCACCGTTGTTATTGAAATCATAGTATATATAGATGACTTTTGTGTGATTTGTAGTAAAATGCGTGGTACACTGTCGTTGTTGAAATTATAGTGTGTAGATGATCTACGTGTGGTTTGTAGTACTGAATATTCGAGTAAACTTTGCGATGCAGTGTTCTCTGGGAAATGTATGGTTTTGGTAATTGATGGATGGAATTGGAGGAATAGTTATCAGAGGAGAATAAAAGAAAATCATAAATAATTCATAATGACGTGATCCCCTACCATCGAGATCTTGTCACCTTTCTCATAAATATAAATTATTCTGGATGCGTGTCTTGAATGTTTCGCCAGTACATTATGAAGTTGATATGGAGCGTCCGATCTTTTTTATACAATGCAACATACATATTTATAAAGACGGTTCTACCTGGTTCATTACTGTTTCCGCGAGAAATGTTCCTATTTTTCCTCCTCCTCGTTTAAAATATTAATTTCCAATTGCAATAATAAATCGCTGTTCCTATTTAACCATTTTGAATGAAATAGCTGTAAAACGAAACGTTTACAGAAGGCGAGCGCGTGTAAAGATATTTTCCTAATTTATGAAACTCAGATATGTGTCGGACCGAACCTTCCTTATTTAAATACCTAACGGTTATGTACGCTTTAATTTATATGAAATCGTGTTTAAGTTTATTAATATTTTAATAACATTGAACTACTGTCTGTTACATTAACAAAAATGAGTTTATAATACGTAGATCGTAGGATTCCGAAATATTCATGTCGAAACATTAAAATTTCAAAGGGAACAACGTGTATTAATAGCTACAATTCCATATCAATCCACTTCCACGACTTACCAAACACTTCAAGAACCCACGAGCAACAACCAAATCAAAACTGAAAAATACCAAACGCGAAAATCCAAATCAAACCATCGAACCACAACGAATCCCTTTCGATCTTCAGCGCAGATCGAAATATAATACTTGAAATTCATCATCGTCGGAATGAAACCTCCGCAGAATCGAGCGAACTTCACAAATTTCGCTTTCCATTCTCCGCTTTTTTCATCCTGTACAATCACAACTCTTCGACTCGTACCGGCAGTTACGAGACATCCCTTGGAAACATGA